GCAAGATACTCCTTGCAGTTCCTCTTCCAGTGCCCAGTTTTACCACAATGATAACGTTCATGGTTCGACTGAGGTTTAACCTTTTCTTTATTCTTCCCTTTGTCGTTATTTGCCTTCTTATTAGGTTTATTGGGAACCTTTCCCATCCCCTTCCTGTTCATAGACTTTACAGTCTTTGATACAAAAGAGGATCCAACGAGAAGCACCGGCTTATCCTTTTTAATCGTGGATTCAGCCGTCTTTAACATATTCACTAACTCAGGGAGAGAAGTCTCCATGTTATGCATGTTAAAGTTAAGGACAAAGCTGTCAAATGACGAAGGCATAGATTGCAGCATGAGGTCCACATAGAGTTCATTATCCATAATGACTCCTAGGGACGAGAGCCTTTCAACAAGAGCTATCATCTTCAGCCCATGATCATGAACTGAAGAGCCCTCGTTCATACGACACCTGAAAAGTTCCTTAGATATCTTATATCTAATCTGCCGCGTCCTATCACCATACAACTCTTGTAAGTGTAGGAGTATTTCAGAAGCATCATTCAGTAATTCGTTCTGTCTCTGCAACTCATTAGACATTGATGCTAACATGTAGCACCGAGCTTGGAGGTTGTCATCTTTATGACGTAAATACGCTCCATACTCATCCGAAGTCTGATCTTCGGGTGGAGGAGGAGGAGCTGTATCCAATACATAATCCCTCTTCTCCGATTGAAGAACAATTTTTAGGTTCCTTAGCCAATCGTTAAAATTGGGTCCAGTTAATTTGTTTTGTTCAAGGATACATGCAATTGGATTCTTAGCCATTTAGTAGATTGATCTACAACACACGAAGCAGAAAATAATTAGACTATGGAATTCATATTCATTTAATATTAGGTCTTTAAATATTAAATGTCTCCCACTAATTTAATTAAAACCCCATTTTAATTATGAAAATCTAATTTTCATAGTGCACTTGAAGTCCAATAAAAATATTCCATATCCCAAGAATATGAGTACGCATGGAACATTTATACTGGTAGTCAACTTTTTGACAATTGTATCAATATACAACCTTCAAGATATTTTGCCTCACCTTTCCTTATATACCTCAAGAATATGACCGTATATATTACTCGGTGTCAAATCAAACCCATCAAAACTTTCATGATAACGGCCCACCAGAGTGTCCCACGACTCATGGTCAATACAAAGAGAAATCCGTCTCACAAGTATCAATATACATACTAGGGATCACAGCCTTCGACACAAAACCACCCCACGACTCATGGTCAGTGATAGAGCATCGTAGCATCTCATGTCTTCTACTTTTTGATGGAAGGCCTGGATTAATAAGTCCCAGCTTATTTTTATCCATTA